TCCCCCTTCACTCTCCTCTTCTGAAGACTAAATAAGCTCAAATCCTTCAGCCTCTCCTCCTAAGTCATGACTCCAGTCCCCTAATGACTTTTGTTGCCCTCCGCTGGACTGTCTCCAATGCATCCACATCCTTTCTGTAATGGGAGCCCCAGAACTGCATGCAATAGTCCCGATGTGGCCTCACTAGTGCCAAATAAAGGGAAATAATCACTTCCCTAGATCTGCTGGCAATACTCCTACTAATGACAAGAGCACACTGTTAGCTCCCAGCCAGCTTCCCATCCACTGTAATCCCCAGGTCCTTTTTTTTTGCCAAACTGCTGCTAAATCAGTCGGTCCCCAGCTTCTAACAGTGCTTGGGATTCTTCCATCCCAAGGGAAGGACTCTATACTTGTCCTTGTTAAACATCATAATATTTCTTTTGGACGAATGCTCCAATTTGTCCCAGTCTCTCTGGACTCTATTACTACCATCCAGCATAGCTACCTCTTCCCCTAGGTTAGTGTCATTTGCAAACTTGCTGAGGGTGCAATCTAGCCCCTCATCCAGGTCATTAATAAGGATGTTGAACAAAAAAGGCCCTAGAACCAACCTTTGGGGTACTCTGCTTGATACCAACTGCCAACCAAACATCTAGTCTACCCATTGAGCCTGATGATCTAGCCAGCTTTCTATCCACCTTACAGTCCATCTATCCAGTCTCTACTTCTTTAACTTACTGGCAAGATTACTGTGGGAGATCATATCAAAAGCTTTGCTAAAGTCAAGATCTATTATATCCACTTCCTTCTCCATATCCACAGAGCCAGTTACCTCATCACAGAAGTCAATCCGGTTGGTGAGGCATTACTTGCCCTTGCATAGAATCCATGTTGACTATTCCTGATCACTTTCCTCTCTTTCAAGTGCCTCAAAATGGATTCCTTGAGGATCCCCTCCATGATATTTCTGGGGACTGAGGTGAGGTTGACCGGTCTGTAGTTCCCTGGATTGTCCTTCTTCCCTTTCTTAAAGATGGACACTACATTTGCCTTTTTCCAATCATCCAAGACCTCCCCCGATCACCACAAATTTTCAAAGTTTCAAAGTATCAAAATGGCTCTGCAATCACATCAGCCAACTTCCTCAGAACCCTCGGATGCATCAGAGCCGTCCACATGGATTTGTGTATGTCCAGTTTTTCTAAATAGTTCTTTCTCCATGTAGGGCTGCCCACCTCATTCCGACTTGGTGTTAGTATTGTAGGTACAAGTGGTGGCTTATCTGAGTCTCATCTTTTATTAAAAGGAATGACTTTAAAGCCCTTCTGAAACAGTTTCCATTAAACCTGAAAGCCAAAAGATTTGTTTTTCTTTTCCAGTCTGGTCAACTAGAGCTTATTCAGCTCATGGCATCCTTAATAACTTTACCAAGGTTCTGCCAGTTCCATGCCATTAAATGGTGCACTGATCAGATAAAATCATAATGCAGAAGCTGCATCCCACATACAATTGGAAATATTGTTGAACAATCACTGAACAAAGGCAAAAATGACACAAGTACACGTCACATCCCAAACAAAAGAAAAGCATGATAAAAAAGAAAGACTGTGAAGAACTCAGAAATTTTGTGGTAACTGATTTTAGATTTGATAAGGAAGGAGTTTGTTGGACTCAAGTAAGAGAGATTCTACAGGCAATCAATCAAGCCATGCAGTCCTCAGACTCAAAAATATAACAAAATAAAAATTAAAAAAATAAAGACAACTAGGTTTTTAAAAAAGGCAGCACCCTTGACCAGGATCATCATCTTTTTAGCTAGAGTTGATGTGAAGCAGAAAATATGACATTTACGACAGGATCAGCTGATCTACATATGACCACCTTGGCTTGAACTCAAAATTTTCCCTCTGGGAGTCTAGTATGGGAAAGACCAACTCCTTTGTAGATTTCCTTAGCCTTAAAGAGTACACTCTAGAGATGACTGAACATAAGAACAGCCATACTGGGTCAGACCAAAGGTCCATCTAGTCCAGTCCAAGTCTTTTTAATCTCACTTCATATGGGACTAGTTCCAAACCCCTAATCATTTTTAAGCCCTTTCCTGAACCTTTTCCAACACCAATATATCTTTTTTGAGATGAGGTGACCACATCTGTATGCAGTATTTAAGATGTGGGCATACCATGGTTTTATACAGAGGCAATACAATATTTTCTGTCTTATTCTCTATCCCTTTTTTATGATTCCTAATATTCTATTTGCTTTTTTGACTGCCACTGCACACTGAGTGGATGCTTCCAGAGAACTATCCACTGACT